GGTGGGATTTGAACCTTAGACCTGCCACTTGGAGGATGACAACCCAACCACTACACTAGGATCACCATCCTCATATAGTACTTATTATAGTCTAGTTTAATTGATACTATCAATATAAAATTGTAAAGATTGAGTAATATATAATTGTAAAGATGTATATATTTAAGAAAGAAGTACAGTTAAACCTTCATATATGCACCACCTTGGGATTATCTATTAACATGTATATATAGAGAGTATGCATTTATAGAAAGTTACACAAATGTAGTTACATAACTGAAATAACTCCAGGTGCTTATACATATAATATATAATACTGTACATATTAAAAAATATATACAATACTATTGCATATTTATGCAGTTATTATATATAAGTAGTTTAATACATAATTTTACTAAGACTTTATATATAAGATTATAGTCTTTGTATATTCACATAACATATTTGTATATAATGTTTATTCTATATTATAGAGCTAATCAGGAGTTTAATACTAATATTCTTTAAAATAAAATAGTGATATTCTATTATAAACTTAATAGTCTTACTATAGGCTCTAAAATTTTATACTACTTTCAGTACATTTTTATTATAAATTTTACATTTACAAAATACAAACATAATATAGTATGATTTAGTATTGTAATAATAATCAGCAAAATTATATAATTAAAAAATATAATTTCAATATAAAACAAAAAAAAATAAAAATAAAATAAAAAAAAGTTTATAAATAAAGTGCATATATATAAGCAGCTAATCTTTAAAAACTTAAGCAAAAATTTCATGTTGAAAGCATAAGTTAAACACTAGTTATACAAAATTTTAAAACATAAAGAGAAAAGAATGATTAATATATGCTTGCCTATCTATAGATATGATAAAAAAAAAAATCGAGCAATAAATCATTTTATTCTCACCTCAACTGTTCTAACCTAATGCATAACAATAGTCATATGTTAGGTTATTATTGCAAGAATCTTTATATGCTAAGCTTCAAAGCATAATCATGAAGAAAATAGGAAGGAAATAGGTATGTACGATATATAATTTCTAAATGAAATAGTAGTAAACTAATTCTAATTCTACTAAGAAGTAATCTAAACTTATTAATTAATTATGCTTTATTATCAACCCATAATTAAATAGCATTGAAATACTACAAGACTCTTTATTTAAAATATTTATTTATATGAGTCTGTTAAGCCAAACTTACAATTTTGCTTTAATAAATTTTTCTAATGAATTGACTAATTTAAATTGCTCGCTTGAACCTTTTTGTTGAAGCAAAAAATTATGAATATTTTCTAAATTATTTAAAGCTGAATAACTACTAACAGTTATAATTTTAACATTATCATCCTCATCATCTATTTTAGCACCACTTTTATCGATAGTTTTAACATTTTTATTTGTTTTGAATGTATATGCCAGCTTCTTGATAATCTGATCATCTGCTGGAATTTCATAAACAATATTCTTATTACTAATCATAAAAAATTCATTGGTATTCATTGCATTAGAAAGATAACATAAACTAAGTGCATTAATAAACCCATCTAATACTGAATCATTGATTCTGTGAATATCATTAGGAGGATTTTAAATTTTAACATCAATATCAACTAAAAGAATTTTTGTATAATGCCAACAATTGCTATAGTTTCAGTAGAGATTTCTTTCTATTCTTTAATTACATACTGAATCACTTGAAGGATATTCATCTTTAAATCTTGAATCAAATTTCCTTCTTCAACTTGGTCTAATAACCATCTAATTTAATAAACAAAAAAAAATATAAATATAAAAAAATAAATAAATAAATATAAAGAAAAAAATAACAAAGTTAAATAAAAATACATTATAATTGCTATAATTATTTATCAACAGTTCCAATCAACTCACCAACAATTACTTTGAGACATTATGTTCTACCAACATACATTTTACAGACAATCTCTTTACAGACAATTAATTGAACAGATAAGTTCATTTCATAGATAGTATATTCACTGACAGCTCATTTCACAGACAAAGCAATTCTAGTCATTGTTATAAAGGTTAAGTTAAGAATTATAATTAAGGTTAATACAGCTTATAAAAAAACTTGTTAGCAAAATGAGATGTTAATAAAATATACTATCTATGAAATAAACTTGTTTGTCATTTAATTATCTATAAAAATAAGCTAGTTGGTAAAATAAGTGACAGCAAAATATAGTATCTTTGAAGTAATTATTAGTAAAATAATGCAAACCTATAAACTTAAAGTAACTAACCTAAGGTGGTAGCGACAATAGGCTTTTTTAAAAGTCATGATTACTCTAGCATCTATGGGTAGAATTTTTGAGATAGTATTTGAAGGAAAAAAATGAACATCTACATATCTAAAAGTTAAACTATTAATATTATGGCTGCTACAATTATTAAGTAACAAAGAAACACACTAGACATTATGTTTTCACAAAATTTGAAGATCAAATCTAGAAGCCACTCTTGAAAAAGTACTAAGAGCATTTATGCCTTGGCATTATTTTGATAGTTATAGGTAAATTTTTAATATTTATATTTTTAAAGCATTAGAAGTTGGCATATTTGCTAATAATAAGAGGTTTTAATTTATGAGACCCATTAGCATTTAAACATAATATTATAAATAGAGTTCCTCAAAACCAAATCAAATCAAATATTAGATCAATTTGAATTTGATTAAATCAAATATTTCCTTGATTTGATTTGATTTGATCAAATCAAATTCAAATATTTGATTTAAATATTTGATTTTCAA